CTGATAGAATGGAAAAGAGAAACAGACAAATCCACAATTAACGTCGGAGATTTCAACACTCCTCTTCCAGCAATTGACCGAGTGACTAGACAGAAAGTCAGCACAAGTTATATAGAATAACTCGGCAACATCAACAGCAGGATATAATGGATATTTACAGAACACTCCAACTAACATCAGCAGATTAGATATTCTTTCAGGAGCCCACGAAACAGATACCAACACAGACCAGATCTTGGGCATAAAAATTACTCCATAAATTCACAAGAACTGAAATGACACAGCATGTGTTCTTTGACCACAATGGAACCAAACTAGAAATCAGTACAAGTAAGATGACAGGAAATCTCTAAACACTTGGGAAATGAAACAATATGGTTCTAAATAATCCCCACGCCCAAGAGGAAGTCTCACTGAACCGAATGACAATGAAACTACATCGCAACATTGTGGCATCCAGCTAGGGCATAGCTCCTCCACAGCTCCTTCTCTGCTAGGAGCTGTGCCCTAGCTGGATGGCACAAATGTACCCCCACAGTCAGTAGGCATTGGAAGAAGATGTGAGCAGTCCTAGGTATACAGGAGAGACTTTCCTGCAGACCAAGTAGCCATTGCTAATAAGGAGCCATCTGATAAAACAGTTCTTTAAAGCAGCCCTACAAAGCGACCACATACCGGCTGATCAACAATATCCTATATAATAAAAGGGTAATATGCAAATTGACCCTAACAGAAGAACAACTGGGAATGACTGGTCACTATGATGCGCACTGGCCACCAGGGGGCAGACGCTCAACGCAGGAGCTACCCCCGGTAGTCAGTGCGCTCTCACAGGGGTAGCTCTGCTCAGCCACAAGCTGGGCTGACAGCTGTGAGTGCAGTGGCGGGAGTCTCTCCCACCTCCTCAACAGTGCTAAGGATGTCTGACTGTGGCTTAGGTCTGAGGCTTAGGTCACAGTTGGACATTCCCCAAGGGCTCCCAGGTTGCCATAGGGATGTCTGACTGCCAGCTTAGGCCTGATCCCCTGGGGATTGGGCCTAAGCCGTCAGGTGGACATCCCCCGAGGGGTCCTGGAATGTGAGAGGGCACAGGCCAGGCTGAGGGACTCCAGTGGACAAATTTTTGTGCACTGGGCCGCTAGTATCTTTATACTGACTTAGACAAAAGAGGCTTCTTGCCAAATAGGGACATCAATATTTGGGTAATAAAAAGGTACACCTGTGCATTGTGTATAGTAAAACTGCTGTGTCATTGCCTTTGCACATGCACAAGGCAAATTGGCCTTGACCATCCGGCGTACTCTGATTAGGGTTCCCACAGCAGGGATAAGAGTGCATATACAGCACTAAATGCTTATATTAGGAAAGAGGACAAATCTCAAATCAATAATCTCAGCTTCCTCAGGAAACTAGAAAAAAAAAATGAACCCAAAGGAAGCAGTAGAAAAATAATAAAGGTAAGAAATTGATGAGATTGAAAACAGAAAAACTGATAGAGAACATCAATGAAACAAACGTTTGAAAAGATCAACAAAATTGATAGACATCCAACAAGACAAGAAAAAACAAAAATCAGGGTCAGTATCAAGAATAAAACGTGGTATCACGATAGCTCAGATATCAACAGGACAATAAAGGGATACAATTGTACACACATGACAACTTAATGAAACGGTGAAGTGATTATTTGCAGAGCACATAACCTACCCAATGTGCAAAAATCTGAATAACCCTTTAACTAGAAAGAAAATAGAATTCATAAGTTTTTAAAATCTCCAGGCCCACAAAGTTTCACTGAAGAATTCTGACAAACTTTTAAAGAGGAATTAACATCAATTTTATACAATCTCTTCAAAAATGGGGAAGAGCTGGGGACACGTCTTTGTTCATTTTACAAGCCATTGTTGGCCTTCTGCCAGGACTAGACAAAGACGAAACAGAGAAAGAAGCCTTAAGAACAATATCCCTCATGAACATAACAGACAGATGTGAGGATGTGGAGCCACTGGAATTCTCTTCCATTGTCAGTGGGAGTGTCAGCGGTGCAACCGCTTTGGAAAATGGTTTGGGACAACCTACTGGAGTTGAATGTGCACACATTCTATGGCCCAACTGTTCTCCAAGAGGCCTGTACATGGGTAGTTTAGATGTAATGTGTGGTTTATGAATACCAAGTTGTATTCTTAGGTTACATGTGCTTTTCTCCATGTGTGCTTCACTCAATTATAAGTTAACTAGAAAACAATAAAAAGCCTATTGGATCTGGTGACATGAAGATAGCAGGGAAGCACAGTTCTGAGGGAGTGGCGGACTTTGGGGACCTCAAGTTAATTCCAATTTTACAAATAGTGTGACTGGAGCAAAGAGCAGTTCAGGCAGTGGGCCAAGGTTGCAGAATTACTGAGTCGGAGAGCAAGGGCTGGAACCCAGGGAGCAGGGATGCTGAGCCCGTGCTTACCCACCACACTGCCTGTCTACTTGTCCTTGAGGGCACCAAGGCAGCGAGGACAAAGGAAACACTAGACAGGAGCACTCACAGGCACTAGGGCAGTGATGGCGAACCTTTCGAGCTCGGCGTGTCAGCATTTTGAAAAACCCTAACTTAACTCTGGTGCTGTGTCACGTATAGAAATTTTTTGATATTTGCAGCCATAGTAAAACAAAGACTTATATTTTTGATATTTATTTTATATATTTAAATGCCATTTAACAAAGAAAAATCAACCAAAAAGATGAGTTCGTGTGTCACCTCTGACATGCGTGTGATAGGTTCAGGTTCGCCATCACTGCACTAGGGCCTGAGGCCCCTCCCGAAAGGCTACAGCAGGCACTGCAGCTTGATGCTCCTGTAGATGTTGCTTTATTGTGATGTCCAGGCTGTTGACCAATATTCATAGGACAACCAGGCATCACGGAAGAAAAGATGAAGCATTTTCGTATACTATGTTTACCAAGACCGGGAAATGTACAATATATTTTTGAAATTTTTGAGTTAAGGGACAAACTCTGAGTATGTCTGAAAGTCAGTTGTGTTAATTGTCTAATCATCTCCCAATGCCAGAGCGACACAGTATGCGCACGTGTGCCCAGGCTCCATCCACTC